CAACATAGCAACACAAACCACCCAACACACGTCAATATTGCAACGTTGCATGTGTGCTGTTGCAGGCGCTAGCAGGCTTGGAAGAGACTGGGGAGCTTGATGAACCAACAGTAAACATGATGAACGTCCCTCGCTGCGGTGTGAAGGATGGTGGTGGTGGCAGCAGTAAGAACGATCACAGCAGACGTAAACGTTATACACTCCAAGGTGTGTGTGTGTGTGTGTGTGTGTGTGTGTGTGTGTGTGTGTGTGATGATAATAGTAATAATAATAATAATAATAATAATAATAATAATAATAATGTCACCTGAGATTCACGTAACTTATTTAAGACTCATCTAGCTCACCTAACCCACCTATGACTCAACTAAGACTCACTTGATATTCATCTAACTAACTTAAGACTCTCCTAAAACTCATCTAACTCACCTAAGATTCACCTAACTCACCTTACACTCACCTGAGACTCACCTAAGATTCACCTAACCCACCTAAGATTCATCTAACTCACCTAAGGCTCACTTGAAACTCACCTGTGTTGGCAGGATCAAGGTGGCGCACCAGAGACCTCACGTACAAGATCAACAAGTACCCCAGCGGCCTGGCCAAGACGAAGGTTGATGAAGCTATTGCCAAGGCTTTCCAGGTAAGACAGTACAGGTGTTTGACGGGTTTTAGTGTGTTAATGATGATGATGATGATGATGCTACTACTACTATTACTACTACTGCCAATAATGATATATAACAACAAATAATAATAATAATAATAATAATAATAATAATAATAATAATAATAATAATAATAATAATAGTAATAAATCTTAATATTGTAAATATTCTTGTGAATGTGTAAGTAAATTCAACATCATCCTCAAAGGGTTAAACCATCATCATCAAAAGATTAAACCACCATCAAAGGGTTAAACCATCATCATCAAACCCAAACTATCAATTCTTACTATAAATAGATAATTATTACCGTCTTTACTAAGTTACCTCCATCACCAAAGACTTTAACAGAAGCTCAATAATACTCTCCCATCAACAGGTGTGGG